GCGTGTGTGTGTGTGTGTGTGTGGCAGTATACAGCGGGCAGATGTCATCCATTGTTGCAGATAACGGAGCAGTAGTCATTTTCACGTGAGCTTTGCAGCGTCATATAGGAAATGTCGTTCTGCCAGCACCTTGTTACGGTGTTCATGTAGGTACTGGCTGGTAGCTAGACTCCTCGCTATCACTGTGACTGCCGTGGATTAACCAATAGTAGATCATGTACTCAAGAGGTTACATTGGGTTTTGAGAGCTGTGACAGTAGGATCAGAGCGCCCGACCCGCCATAATCACCAGCACATTGGGAATGTGATTCAGAGGAGCTCCTCCTCTACAGCAGACACATGCTGCAGGGTGGACAAAACCACGGACTGAACCGACGCTCCTGAACTGGAGCTGCGGCCCTCGGGGATGGTGCATACAGCAATAGCTCCCCCTGCTGGTTGATTGTGTTCAATATAATATTACTATCCCTGTGACAATGAAAGAACACGCAGTTCTGTCAGGGTTTGGTTGTTAGTATTGGAATAAAGGACACTCGAATTGTTACTTATCTCCATCAAACATACAGGCAGCACTGAGCACAAGTACAACATTTTAGGATCAAGTTATGTTTTTGTCGCAGCTGCTAATATATTTTAAAATATATTTTGCCAAATGCGATGACTTTGTACATCTACAAGCCCCCCCGAAATGTAAACGCAGTGTTGTGTTTAAATACTAAACGCCTGAGATAAAACCTCACTGTCGGGCAGACGTACAACGTGAGGGAGTTGAGGGTTGAGAGATTTTGAATGTGAATGCGTAAGGTCGTAAAATATAGTAAAGTGTGTTTCTGTGCTGTCCTGCCGGGCAAATTGTGGTAGGATGTGTGTTTGCATGCTGTGAATGCATTCATGACTGTGTTCATTTAGTGATTTATCTTTTGAAAGCAAGGACCCAGAGCAGTGCTGTCCGTCTTTGACAAGTTGCAGTAGGGATGTAAGATTTTTTGAAGATTAAAGCTCTGTCATCCATAACTTTGGGTTGGGATCACTATGAAGTGATTTCAGCAGCTGCCATAACTCCAATCAATATGTGTTTTTACAAAACTGTCCTTTTCCAAAGCTAGCACTGTGAACATTTCTTTTAGTCTCAATGAGCAGCAAACCTGCAGTTTAGCATATAACACTTGCTACAACAGCAACATGCTCTGCTCTCCTACTTTAATCTGAATGTACTGACCTGTGAAAGGATACGGAGTAGCGCACTCATCAGAAGCTCTTTTTAAAAAAACAAAAAGAAAAAAGAAAAATGCAATTACTTTATTAAAGTATTACATGTATGTAAAGTGTAACATTTAAAACTGACTTTGTATTTTAAGATTTACTGTTGCTTGTTTCATCTGGAGAATAACTTATGTTCAGTGTAAATTTGATAATATAGTTGTTGTTTCTTTCTGGGACCATGTACAGTGCTGTATATCAGGGGCTGACAACTACACAGACCTCTTCCCACGTTGATATCACATTCGGCCACTTTGGAAAGTATTCACCCCTTCATTTTTTTGTGTTTTGTTCTGGTGCAATATGATCACAGCAGCGACTTTAAGGTTGTTTTCAATAACTAGTAAAGTGTGACGAACCCCTTTTTTCACCTTTTAGATTTTATGCAAATCAAATCAAAGCAAACCTGAACAAATGCATCGTGAAATCATATTGTAACAAAACAAAATGTGTAAAATTTAACAGGGATTCAGATACTTGAAGAAGCAACAATATACTTGTGTGTTTTCCCTATGGAGAAAGTTTAAGTTGTATATAGCCTGTAAATGTGGGCTGCATTTAAAATCTAACCGTATTATGTAAAAAAAACTGGGGAAAATATGTACAATAAAAAATTTATAAAAAGATAATAAATTGTATTATGTTTACAAATGTCTGGAGCTGCTTTGTTTATTTGTTGCTTTTAACTAAATGGTAACTTTCTATTTTGCATTTCAAAAATACAAACAGGCGGGATTTATTGTTCTTTACAGCGATTATTTCTTTATCAATTAATCTAGTTATTTTCCTGATTGTTTGGTTAATAAAACGCAATAAAGTTGTGAAAAATGTCTCTTCCAGTTTCCCAGAGCCCACGGAAGACTTAAACTTACTCAAAAGAGTTGTTGGTTAATTGTCTGAATATTGATTAATTCCTGAAGCTCTACTGTTTTTAACATTTTAAATCAGGAGATCTATTGTCCACCCCATTTATATCAGTAATGGTAGAGTAAATATTTAAAACACAACTGAACAGCACTTCAAATCTCTTCAAAGAACCAAAGTGTCACCAAACTTGCTAGCAAGATACCTAAAACACCTCAGAAAACGTTCTTCGCCTTAATACTCGAAGAGAGAGGGTTTTTTATTTATTTAGAAATACGTGTAACAACCAGGCTAGCAAAAGTTAAAAATAAAAGTAAGAACTACTTACTTACAGTTTCTCTGATTTTCATGTAGCTTCTCCTGTTAGCTCCAACGAGGGCTCAATAGGTTGTTTTCAGAGAAATATAAAAGTTTATCGAAACACAAACAAGCTGAATAACCAGCAGTTAACTACAGTTGCTACTCAACAACACCTGAAGACCACAACTAAAGTCTCATTTGACTTAATTTAACTATGTAGCCTCTAACACACGGTTTGCAATGGTGGTAAATTAGTTGATTAAAATTAAACTCTTTTTATTAATGTCAAGCCATCGCATTTAATCCCACATTTACATTTTCACAAAACAAAACCCAATGTTGATGCAGACATGAAATTATATTCATTTTTTTATTACAATATTAGAATTTGTACATATTGTCCTCCCCATCCGCATTTCATTTATAAATTTATTACATAAATATACTCCAAAAAGTAGAATAACAAAAGACAAATTTAATATAAAACAAATTCAGAAACAAAAGTAATACCTGACTCTGGGACAGAAGCGAGAGGAATGTATTTTTTTTTT